TTTTTTTAGGGCTTTTGGACACTCTGTACATTACAAAAATATTTTTAAAATGTGCACCCGATAGGCGTCTGTGGATTCATCAAATAATAGTTTGCAAAAGTCAAACGGGCTAGCCGCAAACGTCCGTGCCGTATGGCGTGAATAACCCTGTATAGAAGACTTTTGTCAATTAAACATTAAATTAATGAAAATATTGCTGCTTCCATAAAACATATTAATATCTGGTTATTTATTGTATCTGTTCATTTTTAAGTAGCTTTATGGAAGCTACTTATGAACAGAGCAGGACATTATAAATRGGGTTAAATGAAWAATCATTCGATTTATTTGCTTTTAACAATAACAAGTTATRTTTATTGTTGGCTATTCTACATTAAAACTTCAGTTGGAAATGTGATACATTTTATATTGTTTAAATCACCAAAATTATAATACTGATCTGTCTTGTGCTGTCTGAAACCCCCTATTTCCTACATTTTGCTTAATGTCGTCGAGTCATCTTCTCTGTGGTCTGCTCTGCGTCGTCTATGCAAAAGGAAACGGCGGTTTGTAGAATTCTATGGACTTTTTAATGATTTGTGGCAGTATGAATATAGTGTCGACTTTCGATTTATTCTGCCTAAAGCCTTGATGTTCTTCGTTGATGCTGACTCTACTTTATAGATGCTGAGTTATTATTTTGGCGAGCTTCATGGTGGTGTTGAGTATGCTTATGCCTGGACAGTCTTTATTTTCTGCCTTCTTGTAGATAGGGATTGTAATACTAGACTTCCAATTCTGGGGTCCTTCTCCTGTGGACAGATTCATACTGTAAAGGTGATAGTCATTTTATCTAGTTCTAGTATTTTCTGTTCTTCAATTTATTGGTTGTTGGTTGGTCTCTGTTTTGCTTATGATGTTGATGGGCGTCGCCCATGTTCTTGGGTGTTGTATAGACGTTTGAGGTGTTTTTTCCATTCTTCAGGGGTAAAATTGACTGCGATTGGGTCGTTAACTAGTTTCTTCTGCTATATAATGAGGTACCATGTTCTCCCCTGTCCCGTCTCCGTACAGGTCATGTTGCATGTAGGTGGAGAACATTTCCCAATAGTCTTTCTTGATTTATGATATTTTAGAAATGGCTCTGTCTTTGACGGCGCCGTGTTGCTGACGTTGTTCATCTGTTTTCTTGTTGAGTTACTTGGTGTAGGCTGCTCTTGTCTCTGAAGCGAGGGTTTTTATTTCCGGAATAAACCACGGTTTGTTGGTTTTAGCGTTCACTTTTACCTTAATTTTGTCAATCACTTCTTCTGCCGCTTTTATGATATTGGTTTTTACTTTGTATCCATTAAAAAATAAACATTTTAAAAAGTTGGGAAAATAAATATACTTTGACGTGAATTTAGCCGCCAATATATTGATCTCTCTCTATCTATGTAGGAATTTCTTTTGCTTCAACAAGAACAATTTATATTATATTCAGTTCTTCGATTTTCATCAAAAAAACACTAAAAAATCAAAGCAATTTAACTGGCAATGGACGTATTTTTGATCATACAAGCGTCGGATTTTTATAAACTTGACCATTAGAGCTTTCAGTGGATGGATCGAACAGAATAACGCATCAAATTCAAATTCTAGCAAAAACAAATTAATCGTCTGTTGCTTCAAATCCGAAAAAAGCAGCTTATGTGCAGGGTATTAAAGGTTTGATAACTTTCAGTGATAAATTGAGTAACGAAAATACAGTCTCCCACCGTCTGGAAATCCCAGCATTTTTTCCGAAGGTTCGATAATTAATTTAATAGAATTTTGCGACCCGAAACAGACTCCCGAAATGGAATTCGCGGTCGTATCGGAAAGTTAAATGCAAATTAGTTCCAGCTGGTTAGGCTTTACAGCCGGGATAATTAAAAATGACTTAATGCTTGTAAAATAATGACCGAAAAACTTGTGCTATTACAGCATGGACAACAGCAGAGGATTTTGATTTAAGTTAAAGAAATATTTGAAAAATGCCTGTACTCTTCCATTCGCCAAGATTAATCATTTTGCTTTTTTGATTCCTCCTTGCCTTTCTAGTAAATTCTAGTTTGTTTAGTTTTTTTATTAAGTATTGAAAACAATTTCGAAAAATAACTCAACACAACAACTTTATTTTCATAGAGTGGGCGTTTCAAACATTATTTCCTAATTTCTCAAAAATAATGTTATTACATTTTCCAGTCCAAACAGTTAATTGACTAAACTATTGCCCTAAATGTTAACATCATAAAAACTCTTCCAGCCGCTTAGATTTTGCTCTAAACTTAAAATTAGAGAACTTTGAAGTTGCAAATTTACAAAATTTTCAAATTGCATACAGACACTCTATAGGTATAAGAAAACGGAATGTCTATATACACCGATAATAAAATTACGGCAATTATTTTAACCAATCTTGTTAGCATGCTGAGTGCAGAAGTGGAAAATGTATGGTGAAAAGCCAAACTTAACCGCGTAGGAACTTCCACCTTCCCTAATTTAAGTATGCTCGTTAAATCCATATAAAGGAGGAACTCAAGCTATTTAGGGTTCATTAGGTGCATTTCGATTAATTTAAATCTATTCAGCATTTCAAGAGAAAACGTTGGTTCAGTTCCTGGGTTTTACGTTTTTTTCTTGCTTCGTTGCAACCAGTGGGGTGATTTCCAGTTTGATGCTATTCATAGTCAACAATTCTACCTATAAATAACGGATTTATGTGTGAGCGTGCAAATTTACAATTTCCCTTTCTTTTCAGATATCTGCTGTGCAAGAAGATGAAAAGGAATCGATGCAACACTTGCACTGGCCAACAGGCGACTTCAATGTCGCTGGTTTCAACGAAAAGACAACAGTCAATCAATAGACGACCCACGATGTCCATTAACAGAAAAGTCGTTAATAACGCTCAAGAAACGTCCATTACTTTGCTGGGTAATGGTCATGGAGATCCGCACATTTGCAACAAAATTATTTGAGAACGACTGCAAAAAAGTCGCGATACTCTTTATCAAACTGATGTGTTTTAAGACTCTACGTTTTGTGAGTAGATGTTTAGCTGTACAGAAAGATTCTTTAAGAAGTCAGTGTAGGTTTGTTGGTTTTTTACTTGGCTGTGTGGCTCCAGACAGGAACAAACGAAAGACTCAGTATGCTTCAGGTTTTTTTAAGAACTGTTAATTCTTTCCAAAAATGTTGTTGCATAAAACGAACATGCGGAGTGGCCGTGCAAAAATGTGTATGCGTATTTTTATATAAAAAACTGTGTTTTTGTTGTTGCCTTGGACATTCTAGGCACTTTTTATACAGTGTGTCCCACCGGAAATTGCCGCCATCAATATCTGGCAAATTATAATTAGAAGAAGTTTGAAAATTGAACAGTAGGTCGAAGTCAATGGGAACAAGCGGTCTAAAATATTTTCAAGGTGGCCACACTTCTGGTTATACCGAAAGTAGGTATCAACTTGCTCATTTTAAATGGAACACCCTATATATTATTACATTTACATATTATATATTCTATCCCATACCTAAGTCTAACCGATTTTGATATACAGGGTAATTCAAAATTGGCGTCATTCCTCTGGATCACCACATTCTCCATAAATAATATGTAATAAGTAATATTCATGCCCGGACGCTTAAAATATGCAAACGAAGGTTATTTAAATTTCTTTATTATTTATGGAGAATGTGGTGATCCAGAGGAATGACGCCAATTTTGAATCACCCTATATATCAAAAACGGTTAGACTTAGGTATGGGATGGAATATATAATATGTAAATGTAATAATATATAGGGTGTTCCATTTAAAATAAGCCAGTTGATACTTACATCCGGTAGGATCGGAAGTGTGGCATCTTGAAAATATTTTAGACCGCTTGCCCCCAATGATTTCTGCACACTGTTCAATTTCTAAGTTTCTGCTAATTATAGTTTGACAGATATCGATCGCGGCGGTTCCCGGTGGGACACCCTGTATATTAGAACCCTAAAATTTACTTTTTTTAGTTAATTTTTATTGAGGGTTTTTTTGAAAGAACTACACAGTAGCCCAATTGTGAAATGTGGATTCCTGTCGTAGATTAAACTGTTTACTGTAAACTGTTGCTGGCTTCATAATTCAGAGTAGTTTTATAACCAACATTCCTAATCGAATTTATCAACTGGAAGTATATTTGGTATAGAACAAATTAAGCATAAATGTACATTGATAATTCGATAATAATTTGTTAAACATTTAAAAGTTTCCTAATAAATTCTAGTAAACTGTTGTCTGAATTCATAAATCAATGCGCCAGAATTTCCAGAAAGATTCTGAAAAAAAAGTTTTTTTTGTCAATTTGTTTTTACTTCCTTCACAATCCACTGAATATAAAAAAGATCATTGCGATTGAAACAACCGAATTTCTTCCGTATGTATTCAGACACCTAGTGAAAAAACAGTATTATGTCCTCAAAGCTTATTGTTAGATGGAAAGCATTATTTCAATAAGTCTCTTGTTGTAACAGAATGCGTTAAAGATCTGAAATTAAAGCAAAGTCTAAGATAAAACATTGTGTTTAATTGGACATTGCCTGGTCCACATTGTATTCTTGCAAAATCGACATCGTCCTGCGAGAATGACCATTAAAGTTCTGAGGCCTGAATAAATCCTTAAAGTTTACTGCCATCGTTATGAAAGTCTACAATCTTTGCAAACGAAGCGAAAATACAATTATCCACTGTTTTATTGCCGAGCATTTCTTTAATTGAGTTAGCAAATTATTAAGGTATTTAACTGACAAAAGTTTCCTAGCAAACAAATTGGGATTCTGTGAACCTATTAAGGATTTTACATAATTTCCCGGCCAGGTAGAGAAAGGCAATTAAATATTCTGCTTGAGTTATTTTCCTGCAACTGGGGATATTATTTACATGACAAGGAGGCTTTCGGCCAACTTCCTAACTCGATTAGAGATTTGGATTATTTCAGAGTGAGAGAAACGATCGGAAGGTAATTATTACTAAAATTATAAAATAATTGAGTGATTTGAACTCAATAAAACTTATTAAAAAGGTATTTAAAAAAAAATAAACAGCCTGAAAACAGAACGCCTCATGTTCTCAAAAAAGTGTAATGAGCAATTAATTTTCCAGCATGCTGAGTGTTCAAGGACTCCCGGAAACTTGTAAGTAGTTTTCTGGCGATGACAGGGCAGCTTGGAACTCTCAGGATAGTTAATTTTAAACGAATCGTGTATTATTCACGACCATTTGCCGTCTAGAATTGGATTCGATGGAAATAATTTTAGGGATTAAACTAAAGCCTTTAGCAGTCACTCATTATTAAAATCTGTAACTATCCGAATTTGTAAAATTACAAGACTAAAATTTTGAAAAGGATTTGTAAATACGAAATGGGATGTGAAAGTTGCGTGTAGATATGTGAGTGGTCAGTCGGTTTTATTTTGAGTGTTTTCGTTTTGTAGGTAAAGTAAAGTCAACCTGGTTTAATCATTAAGTGGTAATATACGGGGTGGTTTTTTAGTGCGAGAGAGTCCATTATTTCCGATGGTGTTGAACTTTCCAAAAATAGTTTCATATAAAAGTTGTTAATGCACGAAGTGCGCACATTTTAAAAATATCATATGATACAGAGTGTCTCAGAAAAGCGAGGTAAGGTCAAAGTCATCAAATTTTGATACTTATTTAATTTTTGATTTAAAATGGCGATAATTTGCCAAAGTCGCAAGTAAGAAAAAACAATTTACGGTGCATGGGTAGTTTTATTTAAAAAAATACACTTTGATCTTGCTTCGCTTTTGTGAGACACTCTGTATCATATAAGATATTTTTAAGATGTGAGCACTTCGTGCATTAACAACTTTTATATGAACCTATTTTTGGAAAGTTCAACACCATCGGAAATAATGGACTCTCTCGCATGTATGTATACACTCAAATTCAACAAAAAATCTTAAAAAAATGGTTTAGGTTTCTTCGTTCTTAGGCCAGCAGTCAAAAGGTGTCGACTTCCAATAATATGGAAGCGAGATTTTTAGGGCTTATAATTATACTATATTATATTAAGAAGCTATTAAGATATTATTATATATAAGTTCTAAAAACATTATGGAAAAAAATAAAATATGGACAAAAGCTATTATTTTATACAGAACGAATAGCGTATGTAGCTCTTAATTATTTGTGAACAAGCTATATTTGACTTTCGGGCTTGCAAAAAAAAACCTTATTTGAGTGAAAATAGGTACAAAAATATTACTTCGCTCCTCTTTGCAAAAATAATTTTGCTTTGCATAAATTGCATTTTGCAAAATTATCATCTAATGCAGAAAAAAAATTCCAAAAAAAAATTATTTTCCTTCGCTTAGCACAATACATAATAAACAATTTCAATTCGAAAAATGAACAAAACAGAAACACTAAGCGTATTCCCAGAAAATTAAAAAAGTTCGCAGTTTATTTTTACGTTCGTCACAGTTTGTGATTGCTATTTATTAATCGCTGTGAAAAAATCAGAGGTAGTGATTTCTTGCTCAACTCTAGTTGTTGATTTCGCGAATGAGGAGAATGGCGTCAATTTCGAACTTGCTGATAGCAAGATCCGATGTTGAAGATTTAGCGGCTTTATTTGAAGAAGTTACCGATATACCGATATTAAAACTCACATTCATCTACTAAAATGGGATTTAATTCATTATTTGAAAAAGATAATTGAATTCTGAATTTCTGAATAAAAAAAATTATAAATAATATTAAAAATTTTATATTCACAACTGCAAAAAATGATCTATGATTCTGAAGCGTCAAACGATACATTTTTGGGTTTGAAAAAACATACTAAAAAAATCGCCAGCATACAATAGAAAAATCGAATTAACAAATATTGATAAAAGTTAAGACAGGAGACGATAAAATGCAGATGAGTAAAACTACTGTCTTTTTACCCTGTTTGCAAATAAAGAAAGTATGGGCCACCATAATTGCAGAAAGAAAATGGCTACTTTTATACACAGGATTTTTAAAAATTCCACACTTATTTTTAAATGATTTTGTTTAAATATCCCTCAAGTTTTCCTATACGGCATTAATATTCACAAGTTCAAATTGTCCATTAAAAAATATAAATAAAATACAGAATTGAAATATCATACAGATACTAAGATACAGACTTATAAACAGTCGATTTTAGAGAAGATACTAGATCTATCCACTTACTTCACTTACTTATCTCAGAAGAACTTTCCTCAGAAGTACATTAAGAGAGTCAACGATTAAAAGAATAAATGATCAGATAATTTTGAAGCAAATTGGTCACTGAGGAATTCATCTCATAAAAGAACACAAATAGTGTCTCTGAAGGATAAAATACAAGGGCGGATCCAGAGGGTGGGTCATGGGAGTCATGATCCCCCTATGTGCAGGGTTTGTGTCGACTAATAATAGCTTTTCTAACTTCATAGACAATTTAGGAAAATAAATACTTTGAATGATGGCAAACATCGGCGTGAATGACACGCATATTATGCTGTTATAATTATATGGTGCATCAAATCCTTCAGTATGAATAAATAAGTAACTTTCTTACTACGGGCCCGGTTGGGATCATCACAAAGCGAGTGATTTTGTCTAAAAAATATTATTGTGCAAAAAAGAAAGCGGTTGATAAACTTGAAAGTCATAAGAGTTTGAAGGTAGTATGTGAGTATCAATGTTTTCTTTGTGGATTGAACGCCACAATTTTTTTGGAAAAACAGCTTTTTGTCTGTCGAAATTTTCTGCATAACTGTTAAAAACGGGTCAATTTTGAAATTTGTTGAAAAACGAAAGATTTTGTATAAAAACCGCATCTCGGAAAATTGCAATCGGTTGAACAACTTAGTTGTACAAACGAAAAACTTTATGATGATTTCAAAGTCGAAAAGACGATTTTCCAAACAAAATACTTACCTCGATTAACTCATTTTCAAAATAATACATCAGATTGTTTGACATTCTCGACAGATTCACTGTCTATGAGAAAATGTATTTGCAACAGTTTACAACACGCTTAAGACTCTCAAACTTGCACATACTCCCACTCTTTACCCTGTAACTCAGTCAGTTATAAACATTTGTCACAAATTCAAAAAGTCCATAAAAGTCCATAGTCTTGGCGGAAAAACTTGTTTAAGGACCAAAGTTCATTTTGGTCACCGTTTCAGCACCAGAGCAATTTTAAAAGATCTGAAGCGCTGGTGTTTCCCACAAACATGCTCTTTTCTAGAAGTTTGGCGGCGCACCAAGATTTTCTTTTCGAAAACTGTATTTTTAGGAGAAAATTTTGGAAATTTTCGAACTTAACAGTAGAATTTAGATTAAAATGCCACTTTCATTAACATGGTTTTCGGAGAAAATTAAATTTAAAGTTAGAGAGACTAAACTACCACCCACATTGTTGTTGCACTTATTTGCCCATAACTCCGCGACTGTTAGCT